ACCCGTGTCAAAGGTTGGGGGTGGCTGACGATTCGGGAGGTGGCTGCGGGTTGACGAAAGGGAAAAGCGCGGCGGTGCCACTGACTGAAATGTCTTCAGGCCATTCCCAAAGGGAGGGCATTTCTCGTTCTAATGCACAGTAGAATTGTAAATGGGCTGATCTAACATGTTAACAATGCCATGCTCATAAATGTGCCTGAACTACAACAGGGAACTGCTGCTTTTTCTTTCCTAATCCTTACTGTCGTCATTTTCCTCTACTTCTTTTGTATGTTTGTCACACTCTTGTGATCCGCTATTTCCAGGGTGCCTTGATAGCTGAAGCAGACTTTGTGTGCTGCTGAAGCTAGAGAGGTGAGCAGAGTAAGTCTGATTCCCTGCAAGGACTTCTTTTTTGACATCCACTCCTTGGCGCTCATATGACGTTATGCAGTTTCGTGCGCCGTAAAACCTCTACTAAAACAAAACAAGCCGCCGTTCCTTTACCCAGCTCTAAATGACCATCATCGTGTCTATGTTCTTCTCTGTACTAGAACAAACAAATAAACAAACAAACAAGCGAATAATCATAGGTAATTGATATCTTTGTTAATTTTAGTAGAGGTTTTACGGTGCTCGCAACTCCATAAGGTCATATGAGCGCCAGAAGATTAGAGGTGTTACAAGAGAGTAAGAAACATAAAAAAAGAAGAAGGGGAGATAAGGACGATAGATGTTTCGTAGGAGAGCAGAAGCAAACCACACCAGAGCACCCGCCAACCGCCCACTGATTGATATCTTTAGATCCATCAATTTATTTGATGATGGTGTCGCGAATCTTGTCGATCGGTGGTTGGTGGGTGCTCTGGTGTGGTTTTCTCCTTCATTCCTATCAAACATTTATCGTCCTTATCATTCTCTCTTCCTTCTTTTTTGTGTTTGTTATTGTATTGTGACTCCTCTAATCTCCAGCACTTATATGACCTTATTGTGTTGTAAGTGCCGTAAAACTCTTACTTAAAACAATACAGCTCCCTTTTTTATCACTGGGTCGCCACCCCCGAGCCCCCCTCCCCCCAAAAGAAGAAGCATCCGAAGATGGTGCAAGTTCCGCAAAGCGCCAATTAAAACATTGTCTCTCCTTTTTTTTCGGGGGG